ATCTTTGAAGTGTTATGACGTGGAAGAGAGATTATTTAATCTGGGCAGCTCCAGAGGGCAAATGTGGGGCCCAGGGGTCAGATTACAAGGACAGAAGAAGGAAACACTTTATAATGATTTGAGATGTCCAACTGTGGATTGCGGTGTCTGGAGACACAGAAAGTGTGCAGAGAGTATTTATCTGGGGAAGAATTTCTGGCTTTTTGTTTTTTTTCTTCTCTTGCTAATCAAATTAAACTTTTAGAGAGAGATTTTTTTTTCTCCTGTGCTCAGGAAAGGTGAACTTTACAGTTTTAGCCACTAGAGGGACCAAGGAGTAGCGTTGCCAGCCAACATCCACTCTGGAGCCAAATAGTGGCTCACACCCCACCCTGGCTCTTGTCTCCCATCGCCTGCAAGCTCTTAGTATCCCCCCCCACACCCCTACAACCCTACACACACACACACACACACACACACACACACACACACTCCCATGAATCTTCCTGGGATGTTTGTGTTTTATTAATTCATCACTGTCTGAGGGGCCTCTGTACATACAAAGGCACATCATAGCTGTTTGTAATCTGTTTAGTGGTTGATATATTAATTACATACACTGTTTTCTTCTAAAAATCCAAGCATTTCTTAAAGAACTAAAAAGTGGAAACTTATGAACTTAATAGAAAATTTTCTAAACATTTAAACATTTATCTATAAGCTAATTGAATTCTTTTTTTTTTTTTTTTTTTTTTTTGTTCCCTGTTTGAACCTTAACTCAGGTCCTTGCGCTTGCAAGGCAGGCCACCGAACTGCTGAGCTAAATCCCCAGCCCAATGAATTCTTAATATATGAGATATGATCAAAATATACAGTGAATGTTTAAATTTAAAGTTATTACAGTAAAGACATGTTACTATTAATCCCCTTCAAAATCTTTCTCTTTGCTTTGAACACACTTATTCCAGCAGTCTTGCTTCTTTCTAAAGCAGTTCTGAAGTCCTCTTTGTGAGAGTCTTCATAAAATGTGTTTAAAAATACAGTGAATGCTGCTGCTGAGGGCCATCAGATGGAAAGAGAGGCTTGTAACACATTAAACTGTGTGTCCTCATTCACCTTATTTACCAGATCTGGCACTGTGTGATTCTGGTTCTTCCTAAAGTCAAAATGAGTGTGAAAGATAAATGTTTTGAACCAACTGAGGACATAGAGACAGCCACAACAGCACACCTAAAAATACTCAGGAAAGCAGTAAGAACAATGGGATGTGTGTTCAAATTGAGGGAAATGATTTTGAGGAGGATTAATGACAAGGTATCTTTCACTGTGATAAAATTTTAAAATTTAAACATTCACCATATTTAAATGAGATATTCTCCTAAAGTCACAAATATACCCAAATCTCAGAAATACTACAGATACTCTAAAAGCAGAAACACAAAATGGATCATCACAGTGATATGTATATGAAGTAAGTGATAGATTTGATTATGTGGCTGAGATTTCCAAGGAAACATTGAAGGTGGCACCAGGTTTCTTTTGGTGTTTATAGTAAAATTCAATGGTGGGGAGAGGGAGGGAGGGAGAGGGAAAGAGCGAGGGAGAGAGGGAGAGAGAATGAGGGAGGGAGAGAGAGAGAGAGAGAGAGAGAGGGATTTTCAGTGAATTGAGGAAATATCTGCTAGCCAAAAGGAACCAAGATTTGATAATTTTGCAAATTCTCTATCTCTCCAGATGGCAAAAGATGTTAAAAATAAGAAATTACTTTTGAGCATGTGGCCTAGAAATAAGTCCTGAAGCAGAGAGAAAGCCAAACAGAGATTGTATTGGCTTTGTTACACATTGGGCAGGTGAAAAGGTCAGACTAGTACAATCACACACAGGGACCTCTCCTAGCTAGCATTCAGAGAACCTGTCAAACAACAGAATTTGGGGAAGCTTAACTGAGTTGTCCTTCAACCATCTGAGTAGGAACCAAGAAGATAGGGCCCATCATGGGGAACCATGGATTTGGCTTTTGTGAGAAGGGAAATTCACAGGAGACCCACAGGGTATTTGAGAAAATTATCTTTTGCAAAAACACTGGCAACTTAGACTGAAAGGAACAGAAAGAGTGAAACATGAAAGGATGCTGATAGATCTCAAAATTGTACTAGCAGGAAGCAGGATGATAAAACTTCTCAGTTTCAAACATGTGCTACCTTTATGAAAAAAGAAAAGACAACTCAGAAGGTAGAATCAACAGACATGAGGGATTACTCTTAGCTCTTGAAATCTAATCAAAGAGTTCTGACTGGAGTCTTCAGGTTGGAATTTTAGACTGGTAATTCGTTTCTACTATTGTTCATTTTTTTAAAAATGAGAATGTCTGTAAGTGTGATATTCCTATTCCTCCATTGTGGGTTAGGAGTCAGATAACTTGTCTTTAGTTTTATAGATTGAAGGAATTATACCCAAGGACCCTCATCCATACCTGACTCTGGTATAGATCAAGAGATTCTGGACTCTGAGCAGGGGTTATAATGGTTGGATGTTCTTGGGGATGTTGGGAGATACTTTACATATGGGGCAGACCCAGATCATTGGGGATCAAAGAAGAGATTCCAAGGGATCCCTAGGATTCCCACCTTCTCATTGCACCATGTGTGATTTCCTCCCCTTGAGTGTGGACAGGACCTGTGACTGGCTTCTAATAGTACAATTGTGCAAAAATGATGGGACATGTAACTATGTGCACATGATTACAGAAGACTAGAGTCCATCTTTCTAGGAGGGTCTCTTTTCCTTGTTGGCTTTGAAGCAGCAATTTATGCTATTAGCCATTATATGAAGAGGCCACCCAAGCAGTGAGCAACTGAATGCATCCTTTAACTGATAGAAAATGAGGTCCTCAGCCTGACTCCCCACAAGAAACTGATTGATTAACAGCCATGGGAGCTTGGAAGCAGATGCAACCTCAGAGAAACATGTGAAGTATACAGCAGCAGGGGGGAACCCATAGATATGAGCAGGAACCCCACCAGGGCAGGCTGAAACATATGTTCCTCCTTGTTACCTTTGACCTTGTCAACAAAGGGAATTTCTCAGAAGTAGTGGTCCTTCATTATGACCATAACCACACACACCTGACCCAAGTGTCACACAAATTGAAATCAAATCCAGGGAAGGTCAACCACAAGCCTAGATGACCTGAGGCCACCAAGGGAACATCCATGGGGACTGCCATGAAAGTGAACAATCTGGCAGGTAGGAGACCCAATTCTTACTCTCCTGGCTGAAAGCAGAGAGCCCAGCATAGGATTCTGGATGGCCCTGGGGATGGACAGTGCATGAACCCCAGGGGCACCTGACTACCCAGGTCTGGGACATAAGCAATAGGTGAACAGACATGGGATTAAGCCACTGAGATGTGGGGTCACTATTCAACTGCCTCTCTCGAGGGAGCCAGGAGGTTCCTGTCTTAGGAATTCCACAAGCAGTGGCTGAATGTTCAACTGTCAAGGATGTTGAAAAAGAGATTCCTCAGAGAGAGAGGACCAGATACTCTGAAAATAATAGTTCACATGTACACCTGTGCACATACTTTTCTTGATTAAGTCTACAATATGACTCATCGAGCTCATTTTATATGGGAGGGAAAGTGAGGCACAGCAAGGTTACATCATTTTTGCAAGACCACACCCTTCTCACCCCTTTTAGTCATCTCAGTCTTAACCACTATGGCCTGCTGTCTCTGAAGCAGAAATTATAAATGGAAGGCTTCGCAAGCTGGCTTTATTTTGTTCATGTGATAATACTGTGTGTTTTTCTTTTTAAAAATTTGACCTGTGATTCAAAGTTAAAAGATTTCACATCAAAATTCTGCCTTACAGTTTCTCTTGAAAAATCTAAAAATCTGGCAGATCTGGGCTTTCAGATCTTAAGGGCAACAGGTGGCTGGAGCTGAGGCATGTGCCTGGTACAGGAGGAGAGAAGCCCAGCTTCTGGCTTGGGTTACCTCAGGGTTGGCACCTTGAATTTGGGTGCCCTGAAAGATTCCATCTGAAGCCAAGTGCCTCACTGTGGACCAGTGTAGGATTGGATATGCCACAGGAACTCAATAAATATTTAACCAATAATTGAATAAATATGGAAACAGGACCTCTGCCCCTCTTCCTCTTCTTCCAACTCACTGCTGTGCTGGGGAACCACTCAGTCTTTGGGATTAGGTGGTAACCACAGGGCTCATTTTCCTTTTGTCTCACATAGCTAGGACCCAGGTTACAGAAATCCCCAAAAGCTGTGCCTGACCCACGTTAACTGACATTTTTATCAACTGAAAATACAGTGGTAAGTGCTCTGCAGAGAATCACAGTCAGAAGTTCAGTTTGGTGGTTATTTTCTTTCTGCTGGGAGCTGAGGGTCCAGCTTCAGGATGGAAGGAAAAGCATTATTCAGATGATAAGAGTGATTTCTGCTTGGCCATTCATTATGCAGTTTGGGGGCAGCTAATTTATCTGCTTAATTATGTTTTGATTAAGCTGATTTTAAAATTAGTTTGTTTACCCTGAGCATATACTGATGAACAGCAGGGAGAGGTGGCCTAGAAGCATCTTGGGTAGTAGAGGGAAATAGTCTGAAATTTGAGGGAATTTCCTTGGCTAATTTTCACATGGCTGTGGGAAGGCTGCTAGGCTGATGGTGCTTGACCAAAATGATTATTGTGACTTGTTGGAGGCCTTAACTACAAGGTGACAGATTGCAGACTCAAGGTGAATGTATACACACACACACACACACACACACACACACACACACACACACACACACCTTACTTTTCAGTGCTCAGTGGAGTTCAGTCAAGGTAAGGAGATCAAGCCGAAGGAAAGGAGAGCTAGCTGGAGGTGACCCCAGAGTTTCCTTTCAGTCTCTATGCAAGGACAGTCAACTGCCTATGACATACTGTGAATTATGTGGTTGCTGCGGATACAAGAATGAATAAGGCCATTGTCTGCCCCTGTGGAAGTCCACAGTCTAGAAAGGGAAGCAGGCTGGTAAACAGAGAACTCACAGCCCAGGAGAAGACCGGCTGCAGAGAAAGGGTCAGAGCTGAGGGAGCAGAGAAGAGAGGGGGCTGAGCGGAGGCAGCTCCATCCCTTGCCTCTTCCTCCCCTCACCCTGCTGGAGGGATGGGGAGAGGGGAGAGTGGAGAGCATGCAAGCCTCAGGGGTTGGGCACAGGGTGCTGGGAACCTGGGAAGCTCAGTGTCAGCATCTGGCTTTCTGAGACTACCGGAGGCTCTGGGAACAGAAAGAATGGTGGGAAAAAAGGGCAGTCAACAGAGCTCTCCTGCTCCTGCACCTTACCTGGCGTCTTCGGTCTGCAAAGCTGCTGTCCTTCAGCTCAACAAGGTAACCCTGTATCCCTTGGGATCTGGAAAGCTCCTGATGGCCCTTCCTGTAGCAAGATACTGCCAGCTTCTTGTTGGTGCTGAGATCTTATTTGCCTCACTGTCCTCTCATCAGTGGCTTAGTTTTCACCCACAAGACCACTCCTTGCATGAAATCTACTCTATTTCAACCTGGAATATAGTTTATGCATGTCTGGTGGGCACTGGTGGATATGGGATGGAGGCTGCACAGGGGTGCTGTCAGATGAATCTTGGAGAAGAAGAAGGAATTCACCAGGCAGGAAGGGAAATGTTTTCCTGAATATACTTGGAAATGTGACACCATTGAGTATGGGGTCCAGGAGCGGCACATAGCCCTAACAGTGGGGAGCCATAATACTTCCAGAAAGAGAATGAAAGATTCAAGTATTTTAGAAAACTCATTTGACCGGCTCTATTCACTGTAGATTAATAAAGAGCAAGGTGGGCATGCAGACTAGTTAAGAGGCCAGAAGTCACTGAGGCTCATACAACAGCTTGATGGCTGGATGTGACGAGAGAACACATTCTAGCTATTATTCTCCTATTGTGCCCAAGAAAAGAAATGTCATACTTTTCTGGACCATAATTGGTGTTAAATAAATATTTGTTGAATGAATTAATAATATTTGAATGTCTTATTTATGTAAGAAAACCTCACTTTTGCCCTTTCTTCCCCACATTTCTTTGCCTCAGCAAGAACCCCAAGGGGCCAGGACAACATTCCACTTGTCCAGCAGGTTTCTGCCACCCTCTGCTTTCAGGACAGCATGGGGTTACCATCACTGAGCTCTGGCTTCCTGGCCCCCCTCTGTTTACTTAATGTCCTTCCCTGATTGGAGCCATTCAATCAGCAGTTAATTACAAGCTCTTATGCCCTCAAGCTGATGTTTATTGAGCACTTACAGCACAGCCAGGCACATGCTAAATAAGAGTCAGCATTGGCCTCAGTCCTCCCTGTAGCCCTGTGAAGCAGGGCTACTTGTGCCCTCCCAGAACCAATGCAGACAGGCAGAGGTAAGGAAGATGCTGCAGATCACACAGCCGTACTTGACTGAGCTGGAATTTATACCCACACACTTGGCTCTATATGCTCAGATTCTGAGCCGTTGCACTATCCTGTCTAACATGGTGTGCTATAGGCACCTGGGGTTATAAAGATGTGTAAGACAAAACTGGCAGGTGCAAAAAAAACAAATGTACAGAGTGAACTTTAACACTAAAAAATGCATTGTAATTCAAGGCAACAAAAGAAAAACCACCACAACCAGAATGTGATTCCTGCCAGCATGAAAGGTAGGGTGATCATCCCAGCCTGGAGTCATCAAGGAGGCTTAAAGAAGAAGGCAGGTAGGCTTCAACCCCTGGCTTTCCGGCTAGTTAAGGAGCTCAGCTGCTGCCCAGCTCCTGCTCCCCCAGTGCTGGGGATCTAACCCATAGCCTTCTGCTGCTAGGCAAGGTGTTCTACTACTGAGTCACCCCCCACACCCATATTCTGCCTGTGGAAGTCCTTCTAACAATGCAAGAACAGCTAGAAGGTCATTTGTGGGCTAATGAAAATTGCAGCTGGAAATTAAGGGGAAAAAGTGGTACAAACTGGACATCTGCTGGATTCTCTAGCTATGGGCTCCTACGCATGGAACCCAGATGGTGATCTGTGGGTGGCACCCCTTTGATCATCCATAGTCAACCTATTTCACGTGCAGAACTTTCTGGGTTGAAGTAGGCTTTTTCTAGGGCACCAGCTTTTCCTTATGTTGGATTGTCTTCATTTAATTTATTTATGTGTTTATTTGTTTGTTTGTTTGATTGTTGGGACAGGCTTTCATTATGTAGTTCAGGTTGGCCCTCAACTCACTATGTAACCCAGGCTGGCCTCAAACTCACATCAGCCTCCTGAGTTCTGGGTTTACAAGCATGCACCATGATGCCCAGCTGAATTATCTTCTTATTTTTTAGTTGTAAGTGACTTTTATCTGAGGAAAACATGATCATATATGCAGATAACTCTAACCTCAAATAAACAAACTCTTGAACTGAATGTAGCCAGGTTTGATGGTATAAGGCCAATATACAAGAATCAATTGTATTTCTATATAGCAACAATAAAAAATTGGAGCACAAAAAAATTTAAGTTACCATTTATAATGTTATCAAACACTTAAAATACTTAGCAATGAATTTAAAATATATCCAAACATATACATGAAAAAAACTATAAAAGAGCTGAGATAAATTAAAAGATTTATGTGGGCAACAGAATATACCATGTTTATATTAGAGTCACTATTGAAAACATGTCAATTTTCCCCAAATCTATAAATTTAACAACCTGAATCAAAACTTTTCTGGCTACTTTGTTGAAATTGACAGGTTGCCTCTAAAATTTATATTGAAATATAAATCACCCAGAAGTGTTGAAAAATTGTTTGGAAAAGGGCAAAGATGAGCAATTCATGCTGATTGCAAGAATCAGAATAAAGCTGTAGTAATCAAGACAATGTGATATTGGTGAAAAGACAGAAATCAACCAATGGAACAAAATAGAAAGTTGAGAATAGACCCACATTTATGTGACCCGTTGATTTCTTGCCAACATGCCAAGATACTTTGATGAGGAAAAAATCTTTGACAAATAACGCAAGAGAACTGGAATATCTACATGAAAGAAAAATGTCCCACAACCCTTTTTCACAGCTCTGACAAAGATTAATTTAAAAGGACTTAGGGCCGGGGATTTAGCTCAGTGGTTTGGTGGCCTGCCTCGCAAGCGCAAGGACCCAAGTTCGATCCCCGGGTACAAAAAAAAAAAAAAGGATTTATGTTTCTGGAAGGTGAGTGGGTCCTGTGTGCACTAACTATACTAATGGTGGTAACTGTGCTGTTGGGAAGCCCGGCCTGGTCAGAAGGAGGGGCGTGGCCAGAAGGGGGCCTCTCCCTCCCTGGCTCTTTCATTCTCTCTGCTTCCGGCAGCCATGACAGACGCTGCTTCTCTGCTCTCTGGCTCTGCCTTTCTTTAACTGCCTTGAGGCTGCCCATAATAGTCTGTAACTGTGGCTAAAGTAAACCGCGCCTCTTTAAAGTTGCAGGTGTCAAGTATTATGTCTTAGTGACAAAGGAAGTGACTAAGACAAAAACATTAGAGAAAAATCTCTGTGACCTTGGAGTTAGACAAAGCTTTCTCAGAACACAAAAATTACTAAACAGAATGAATAAAATTGCTAAACTGGATTTCAGCAAAATTTCCTGTTTTCAAAATAACTAGGAAAATGAAGAGGTAAGTTGTAGACGGAGAAGATTCAAAATAGTCTTATTTAACAAGGGACTTGTACTGTGGATGTTTTTAATACATGAATGTTTAAAATTATTATAATCAAATATATAATTTTTATGGCTTATGCATTTGATATTATTCTTAGGAAGATCCATTAACCCCAACTTTATGACAATGTTTATTTATAATTTTATGACCTTTGTAATTTGAAAATTATAACCTAAAGTTAAAATGAAATCTAAAAGAAAAATATTAAAATTTTAGATATTTTTAAATTAACTTTTTAAAATAAAAGTGTTAGAAATTTATTCTGATGCTGTTTATTGCTATTCTTACCCCCATTTAAAATGCCATTTTTATTGAGTATTAAATATGTATAGACATTTGGGTTTGCTCTGGGCTTTTTATTATTTTTGGTCATGGGAGCAGCTGAACTCTTTCATTAGTACTTTTCGTTAAGTACCTTAACGTGTACTTAAGTACTTTTCGTGTGTACCCTGTGAATATGACATTTCTCTCCCTCCTCTCCCAACTTCTTCCCTCCCTACTTAGTCCCTCCATCTTTTCTTTCTCTTGCCTCCAAAGATATTTTGAATTCCAGTTGTTCTCCATACCAGCTAACTTTCCCCACCAAATCCCCTTAATGTTACATTTGGATTTAGTGAGAATATTCTTGATTTTAATATTTAAGTCACTTTTACTTGGAAGAATACAGAAATAGGGATATTAAAGCTACTGACAAGCTAGGCCATTACTACCTATAATCCAGTGATCCTGAATCCAAATCATAGGAATCTAACTTGTAAATTGCCTTACCAGGGTTGTACCTGTCTGTTAGGTGACCCCAAAGAATTGTTCACCATTCCCAGTTGTTCTCAGTAGTAACTGACTTATTTGCACAAAGAATTGGTTTCCAAATTTGCTTTGCCAGCATAAGAACTAAATATACTTGACTCTGAATAAAGAAGATGGGTTAAAAGGTTGTATTACTCTGCTCATGGGAAAGTTACATTAAAATGATTTCTATCTTACTTTTCAAAGTAGCTTTTGCTGTTGATTTTACTCATAAGCCAGGCACATTAGACAACCAGATAAAGAACAAACAGAGCCTTTATTGAACTCAATTTTGTGGTGGGAATGAGGGTCAGAAATAGAATTGTGTGAACCAGAGGGGACACAGCAACTGAAGATGAGAAGGGACCAGGGGCGTGGCCTATGTAGTATTTCCCACCTTCTTGGGACAGTATTTCTCTTTACATTTCCTTTGTTTCTGGGGAACTTTGTTGCAGTTTATTTCAGGGTAGGATTCTTATATGTGGTGCTCCGGTGACTCATTGGAAGTAATGGACAAAAATGACTTTGCAAAGATGGACCAGCCTTACAAATATAAGGTCATGTGACTGAGCTTCTGAAAGTAGTATAAGGAAGACTGAACAAAGGTGGTTGCCTGCTGAACACTGTTAGTAGTAGGACTTAAAAAAATAACTTTATTTCCCCTCAAATAACCACTGTGAGCAGTTTGATACAAAGTTTTCCAGTCATAGCTTATGAAACGAAAATTCCCATTACAAGGATATAATGAGGAGTTTTCTCCAGTTCTTTGGGCCTGGCACAAGGCCTGGCTGAACAGCTGGCTTATAAAAGCTAACCACTGTCTTTCTCCCTGCCACAGTTTTTGACCAATTGGCCAGCAAACTCGTAAGTCTTAAGGTCATTTAGTTGGAATAATAAACTAAGGTCTCATAAAATGATCTAGGAGTCTATCATACGTAAAGTCACATTTTTAAGAACTTCATGTTATTTACAAAGCAGAGCTTCCACACGATTTTGAGCTTTCTCCGTAGATCAGCTTGGTGTGGCCTTGTGGTCTGGAGGCCTTGTCTCTTTGTACTCTCATATCATCTGTTAAGGACACTGAAGGTCAACTTCTAATCTTACTTTCTAGTAAATAAATGCACCTGGCCAGGGTAAAATTCTAAGTAGCTCCATCCTGTGGAATTAGGTGGCAGGCTCTTCCCCGGGTAGGAAGAGGAAGAGAAAAGTGCCAGGGTTTGCTTGGCTGATTTCTATCCCTGGCATGGCATGCTTCCTAACTAGCCAAATGGGCAGTGGTAAATAAGGTTGCTTATTAATTATTTTGGACTACTTTGTTTCTAACAGTTAATATTGTACCTATCTCATGGTGTTATTCTAAATATTATATGCAATAACAAATATGATAGAACTTTTTAAAGTACAGAACACTGAATTCTTTTAAGGATGATAATTTTTGACCCACTCACTCTGGGAAAAGAAAAGCAGGTCAAGTGTTTGGAAAACCAGAATTCTAAATTGGTTTACTTCTTACTTATTCAGCCCTTCACCCAACTCACTCTGTATGTGTCTGCCAAGAACATGTCTAGTGTAGAGGACTGGGGAGAACTGTTCATCACTCAACTCGTAAGACCAGATGGTGACAAGAGGTAGCATTAACAGTAACCAAATATCTGCACAGCACACCATTAGCTCTGCTCATCCCATCTTACACTTCAGAACCAAGCCACACCCCTCCTGTAGGCTCTTAGATTTCCCAGGCTTGCACTGGTATTAACTGGATCCCCTGGAGGCAGAGTACATTGACTGCATGGGAGTTGGGTAGCAGTAGCACAGATGGGAAGGGCTACAGCAGGAGCGACTTGAGAGTGTCAGAAATTACCTAGAAAGGTGACTTGGGGAAAGTAGGGATTCTGGGAGGTTCTACATATTTTTCCACACATCAGTGAATTTAGATATTGGTGCTTGCTGGGCTCATAATAGTGGTACGCTGATAAATACCAAACAGCTGCCATGGTGGGAGAAGGAGCAATAAATGAGACCCAGATTGATAGTTTGCCAAATTCTCTGGTATAAATACTCCTGTCATGGCCAAGTAGTATTCCCATTATACTGGTCTAATGGACATGTAGAACTTGGAGTACGTTGATAAGAGAAAGTAAAATGAAATAATTAGGGTGTGATCAGGTTTAAGTATTAATTGCTTTTGTTTTTAATATACTTTAATTGCATGATTATATAGTTTAAGATAATTATATTTATTAATTAATATAATTTAATAATGGCAATGATTAATGCTTATCTTGCAAAATTCCTGAAATTGTGACTCTCAGTTCTCATGAGCCCGTATGAACTGACAAGCATGCCACTATGTCCTAAGGAAAGGACAAAATGCTGTATGTCTAACTAGAACACCCAATCTCTGCAGAGAAGAAGGCAACTCCTTCAGGTTTCATTCCCTCTCTGGCAAATGAACAGCCCTGGAATGGGTCTAGCACAATCAACAGAGCTTCTTTAATGAACAAGTACAATAAACCTTAAAAACCAAAACCCTTTACTCTTCTGACATAACATTTCCATCTCACCTTGATTCAACCATATCCATCTAGCAGATAGCAGGTATGGGGGGCAAAACTTACAGGAAGGAAAACTTCTGAATTTTAGGGAAGAGGGAAGCTTGAAAGAAGTAAAAATAAATAAGCCATTTCTGGAATGTTCCAGAAGCCAGGTGTGGTATTTGGATGCTGGATGTTTAGGTTGGGGAAAGGAACAGGAAAAAATATGGATAGAAACTAACCCCCTCTACCTAACAGATCTGCCCTGGGCCAGGACTGGCACAGTTCTTAAGAATGATGTTCTCCCATGAGATTCTTTTGGTAAAGAAAAAAAATTCTCTTGTGGTCATAGAAACACATCTGATAAAATAGGTCTTCTAGAATTCAGGCCACAGAGTCATCCTCGGCGTCATAATGGGACTCAAAATGAGAAGGACCTGAGAGCTAGGCGCTACTAAATCCTGCCCCACTGAGAGGAAGACAGAGGGGAAAATGACCTGATGCCATTTCAGTCCATTATCAATCCAATCTACTTGAGTGGGAGCAGAGTTAGAAATCTCATTCTAAAAATAACATTGAAAAAAATGTGGCCTGGAATAAGCATACCTACGTGAAGCCAGGCCAAAGTTTTCACGTGTGTCAGTGTATGTGTGTGTGTAGGATGGGATGGAGAATATATGCTACCTAGCACATATGTACAAAAAGAATTTTCTTTCCCATCTTTATGTTTTCTTGCTAGGTACCAGGTGCAACTCTGGAGTAGGGAGAGGGCACACACTGCTGAGGATTTAGCAGGACCTGTTAGGTCACAGGTACTAATGCACAGTACCTCCCATTGATTAGCTCATGTAGTTTCTGCGAAGTTCTCAGGCACTAGCTTTATTGCAGAGAGAGGACAAGTTCAAGCTCAGAGTTAAACAGCCAGAAAGATATGGAAGTGTATTTTAAACTTTTCCACTGACCCCAAAGGCCAGTCTCTTCCCCACACTATGCTTCTGCTCAGTGCCTCCTTCTTCGAATAGACCAGAGCTGGCTAGAGGAATGGGTTGTCCCTACCTCAGTATGCCAGAGCTCACAAACATCTGCTGAATGTGGTGATTTCAAAGGAAGATTTGACATCTAAACATCAGAATCATAATGTGTGAATTGGGAAGACTGCAGCTCCTAGGCCCAGGGAAAGGTAGCCATGCTGTCCAAGATGACTTCAGACAGTGTTCCCGGTACGTGTGTTGATAATTCCAGGTTTATTTGTAGGTATGGTCTGCTTGTCAACATTCCTCCACACACTTAGGAGCCAGATGGCCTTTGACAACAAAGGTATGTTGGGTTGTATGCCAGACTATGGATGGTCTTAACTTTAAGCACAAGAGTGTTCGTCACTTAGAGGAAAAAGGAAGAGCTAGGTTTGCAAAGAGACCTTACAGAGAGTGTTCATGCTACAGAATTTTTCACCACGTGTTCCCTTCAGATGGTCATATTCCAGAATGTCTTTAAACATGAAGCAAACCCCCAGGCTGATTCACACAGCACAGCTCATTGAAGTTGAGGAAGCAGAGGAGACGTCCCCATCTGTCCCTTCCCGTGCAGGGGAACCTCAGCTGTCCCCTCCTGCATCTCCTCTCTTCTCCAGAATGTATTCCCAGGAAGTCTGATGGAGAGACAAGGCAGTTGCCCTGAGAAGGGGTGTTAGCGTGGGAGGACACAGATGGAGACGCTGAGGGGCTGAGGAGAAGGAGCTGGTGTTTGTCAGGAAGTCACTTCCAGCCCAGGAAGTGCCCAGCCCAGGGATGAGGCCCACCCTGTGGGACTGTGAGAGACAAGCCTGGCCCCACCTGTTTATACTAATGGCTTCCACCACGCAACTCGGTAAATTGAGCTGAATATTTTCTGATGAGGAAGTGGAGTGGAATGTGAGAATCCTTGCTGCTGACGTCAAGCTTGCCTTTCATTTTATTTATACCCATGACATTGTGACACAGGATCTAATTTTCCATTGTATTTTTTCTCTGTTAGGAACCAAGTGATGACAAGTGAATTTGTGTCTGAGCCTCGAGAAAAGATATTTAAAATTTGAAGGCAGGAACCAAATAGGATTCTGTGTCTAGCTCTGTGTCCCACTGCCCCTTCTTCTCTTGAACAGCTGAACTATGAACCATGGGAAGCTCGAGGAATCGCACTCCTGCCTGACACAGTTGCCCAAGAAGTCAAGCTGCAAGTGTCTAGTTGCCAGTCCTCATCACAGGATTTCCTCCCTGGCACCTGTGCCAGAGTGAGGCCAGGGAGCAGTGAGGCCACACAGCCACCTTGGCACCAAGCCCTGGCCACTGTCTGGGCATGGAGTGGGCACTGATCCAGGAGTGGGTTCCAGCTGCCTGACCCAGAATGGGTCAGAATGTGCAGCAACTCCCCTGCTGCTTCTGCCCCTTGGAGGCAGGACAGACTGGGACAAAGATGGGATAGCTGGAACACATGGGGAGGGGGCAGGGATAAGCTGTCTCCTTTGTGTAGAACTAGCCTTTGCAGATAGGGAGACTGGCACATGTGCCCAGTCAGCAGGCAGAGTGGACTCTTAACCAAATCCTTGCTCTGCTGAGCAATTCACCAGTCCATCACCAGCCTCTCTCTGTTATTTCCCAGCTGTGGGGTCTCTAACATGTGTCCCTTTTCCCACCCTAAAAGGAAAGCTCTGCCTGGCACCCAGAAGACTTGCCCAGCAGGTCCTTGGTCACCAGCTTTGCAGCAATGTCTTTCTGGCTCTGACTCCAGATAAATCAGACTTCCTTGTACTCTGATTCAGAGATGTTTGTTATTCAGGGTTCTGATGCAGAGGTCCGATAGGGAGGCTTCTGGGCCTTCTACCCAGTAAACCAGTAAGGTGTGAGAGTTTAAAGAATTTAGAATCACAAAGACAGCCACACTCTGAGAGGTGGCATGGTACCAGCTCTGGTCACCTGAAACCTAGAGTGTTTAGAAATATGCATCAGTGAGAGTTCTCACTGCTTGACCTTGGATGTCTTCTTTGGTTTTGTTTTTGTGTTTGTGCATGTTCAGAAGGAACCCTTTTATCAAGTCTGTTACAATTCATACATGTTGTTCCTGGTTGCCTTCTAACTCTCTGTCACTTTTCTCTGGGAATTGAGGTAAAATGACCCAGGATGGGCTGCTGTCTGGAGATGAAGAGGCAGCATCGCCTGTAAAGCTGCCCTTCTTGGCACCCACCCTGCTGACCAGCTGTCTTCCTGTAAACCGGCTCAGGGTGAGGTCTCTGCCATCCCACCAGCAACACTCTGTCTCAGACCTAATTCTGAAAGCCTCTATGAGGTCCATCAGGCCATGTCAACTGCACCCCCGGGACAGGTCTGCTGCTCCTCCTAGACACTGGGGCAGAGATGGGGCCTAGGGTGAGGGGTACGAATGATACATAGTCTATGCCTGTCAGCTGGCAGCAGAAAAGCATGATTAACGCAAGGTAGCACTAGGTGTGGCCTCAGTAGTGTCACTGAAGAGCTCCAGGTTCCAGGCCAGGGTGCAGGTGTGACTTAGAAATCCCTGTCCAAAGCCTACTGGGGGTTTGTTTGGGATGAAGACAGAAGTGTACAGTCAGACAGTTTTAGGTTCAAGTTTTGTTTTTTTTGTACTGGGGCTTGAACTTGCCAGGCAAGTGGTGGAACCACTGAGCTAAATCCCCAGCCCTGGGTTCAAGTATTGTCTTGCTTACTAGCTCTGTGATCTCTGAGAGGTACTTATATTCTAAGCCTCACTTGTGGTGACATGGAGGTGTTAGCAAGAACAGCACTGTGCAGTTGTTATGGAGCCAGCATCAAGGAGGCAGTAGAGGTAGAGGAATTGGGAGCGATGTAGGTAGGACTGTGGTGGCGAATTTATGGCACGCGCGTGGTTTTTCTTTTAAGACAAAAGATGTTCATATATGAGTTGGTTTGTTTGTTTTGTTTTGTTTTGAGACAGTATCTCACTGTATAGCCCAGGCTGGCCTCAAATCCACGATCCTCCTGCCTCAGCATCCAGAGTACTGGGATTACAGGTATGTGCCACCACACAGGACTCAATTTCTAGGGAGATACTGATGCAGAATTTCAGGGTTCAGTGAGATTAGGAAGCAAAGACATGGCCACAGCATTATCACATATGAGGACCTCCTTCAGCACCCTCATTTGAACCGGGGTACAGAGAATATTTCAGAGGGGTTGGCAGCTTGGGGTCCTGGCCCAGCCAGGTGGCTTGGCTGACCTGAGTTTCCTTTCAGTAATTGAGGACCGTGCTGAATTGAGAAGTGGGTGGAGTGCCAGGTGAGCCCCAAGACTCAGCAAAGCAGTGTGGGGAGAAGAAATTGTCTTCCTAGGCAGGTGCTGGAAGAGAAGAGCTGAGGCACAGGTTGGGCTCCTGGTCCATGCCCTTCAACACAGAGATGGGGTGAGGCTGCTTCTGAGGAGACCCTTTGTGCCTATGGCTACTGTGGAGGTTTACATGAACCTGATTTTGTCTCAAGAGAAGAACACTGAGGTCTAGTGCAGGGTGCATAGCATACTTTACCCCAACCCAGGATCCCCAGGACAAGACCCTGGTCCCTTATCCCACGCCCCACCTCCCGCCATGGCTCCTAAAAGGAGGTGCTGTCAGATACCCATAGTCTTTCTGGGTATTGTTCTAGGAGTTTCTGTGGGGTGTGGAATACTTGGCTGGAATAATCATTGTTTTCAGGGGGGAATCTTACCTTGAAGTTCCATTGGGCCTCAGGAAAAATTTATGTGTACCAAAAATTATTTTTCTGAGTAAGTGGAAGCCTAAACATCCTACCTATGTAACCAAGCCAAGGTGGATGTGAATCTAGCTTCCATATTACATACAATATGCCTGGAAGAGAGGAAGGAGCTATTGGGTTAACAGAGACAGTGCAAGCTCTTGGTCATGAAAATAACTGAGAATCCACTGAGAATCTTAAAATCTCACAGAGCTAAAAATGTTGCTGTAAGAACAATGGAATTATTTCTTCTAGATATTGATAAACAACAAGTTGTCTAAATCCTACTGTTTCTCATCTTTTACGTCTATATATGCTTTGAGAAGAAAGAAAGGGAGGCTGAAACATGAGGTACTTAGGTGGTAGCCTCCAACCCACCTCAGTGGTGAAGAAGTGAGATGTGGCTGTCTTCCCCACCATACCTTTCTTTGCTGGAGACAAAAGCCCGCATGGTGGTCTCAACAAGTACTTCAGAGTCTCATAGCGAGGTCAAACCATGCACAGGCTATGAGTGGGAGAGATGTAATAATAAATAGGCATTTATTGAACACCTACTGGATGCCAGGCATAGAGGAAAGCTCTGGGTACATATAGCTCCTACCATCAAAAGCTCACCAGTCATACTATACACAAATACACCAATATAATTTTCAGATTGCGGCAAATAGACACTGTTATGAGAGAGAGTAACAGCTGGGACACGGTACAGACTGGAAGGGGTCAAAGAAGACACAAGTAGGAGCTGGCCTCGAACAGTGCTTCTCACATCCCGTATGTCTCAGTGACCTCAAGAGTTTGTTTCTGTGTCCCACCATGGAGGTTCTTGGCTCTATCGGCCTGAGTGGGCCTTAAGAACTCACTCTTTCAGCAAGTTCCTGGGTGATGCCGAGGTTGCTGGTTTGGAGACCACACTTGGAGGATTTCTGGCCTAGAGAACCAGAACAACTTACCCAGGTGAAGAGACAGAGAAATCAGAGGAAACACAGGGAGCAGCAGGGGCAGAGAGTGAGTTTGGTGGCTTCAGGGGATGGAGAGGGCAGCGAGTCTGAAAGACCATGGCTGGGCAATGTTGTTAGAGAGAGACTGGCTCCTCTTGCCCATCCTGAAGCTTCCTGCACACAGCCACCTCCAGTGATGGCAGCTACGGGGGTAGTTCTCCGATTCCAGGAGATATCCCATAGCAATGTCAAAGGGGAGATAGGCAGAGGGCTGGGCCCTGAAGGGAGGAAGTGCTCAAGCCATCCAAGCTTTCTTTTTTCCTTATATTCCATGACTTGGAACATGGCCCTATCTCACAGTCCTTATTTTAGCTCTAAAATGACAACACATTCTTCAGTAGGTACTGAGGTGCTGTCCTACACTGTGAGCAACAGGGGTTAATGTGGAGGGGATTCATGATTCCCCAACTGGGCTCCAGTCAAGAAACTATATATAAAAAGTTAGGTTTCCACTTCCTAAAAGGAATGGAGTGTGTGTGAGTGTGTGTGTGTGTGTGTGTGTGTGTATCTGCTTTCCTCCATCACACTCAGTTCATAAATGTCATAGAATTTTTTTAGCATAATAGATTTTTATGGGTGCATGTTTTCAGTACATAACACTTACATTCCTTGTGTGGAGCTGGTACATGCACATGGCATAACTTAATTCCAATTTTTCATCTCCTCTCCTTCTCTCCTCGATCTATTGGCCCCCTTCCTATTTGAGAAAGAACTATATCCCCACTTTCTACTGCCTCTTATTTTGTTTTTTATTTATCGTTTGAGTCTTTCATATAAGAGAAACCATGCGATACTTAAATTTGTGTGTTTGATTTATCTCACTTCACTTTATGGTCTCAAGGTGTAGAGAAGGTATAGGAGCACAATTGACATTGGATTGATTTCACTCAGATCACATGTACCTAGTGCTCACTCAGTACTAGGTGCCATGATAGGGGCTGGAGAGGCTGAGGTGAAGAAGCCTGGCTCCCTGCTCATAGGGAGATGGTCCTATCTTCCACTCCCTTTCAACCACAGAGCAGTGGGGTAAAAGCCACACCCAGGGCCTGCACAAAGAGCACTAAAAACTCAAGCGGGAGAGCAGTTCTGCCTGGGGAAGTCAGAGAAGGTCACAGAAAGCAGGAGCCAAGTTTGGAAAGGAAATTTCCAGAGGATGAGTAGAACTGGAGAATAAGTGAACGGATCCCTTTAAAGAACTTTCTTGTTATTGTTCTAAGCCCCGACCTAAATCATCGTTATGAGCTTCTAGAAGATACATGGCCACATGGTGTGGAATTTGATTTAAAATATTACATAAACCATTATATATAGAAACACATATGGAAACAATCTGAAAATATTTCTCCTCAAATATAGAGCCATTTGCTTTTGTGAATTTTCTATTTCTGGATGAATATGTGAAATATGGCAAACCATATTTCTTCTGAGATTCAGAAGAAATTACATCACCATCCTAGGGGAAAATAATTTTGGTTGTTACTTTGTCCATTCATTCATTTTTACCAGTCAACAAATATTTAGTTAGAAATTTACACTTTTGAAATTCCACAAGAGGTCAGTGAGGGGACACAGAAATAAGATCTTGCTCTGTTCTTTGGCTCCATCAAAGTCCAGGAGTGAGAAAAATACCTGAACATAAATAATTCTGACAGGAGTGGGTGGTAAACAGTATGAGTAACTACAACGGGCTCTGACAATCTAGGGGAAGCGAGCAGATTTGTGACTGGGACGCCTACAGAGCTGGCCTTTTACAGAGGAGCAGCCATGTGCACGCATGCGCAGAAATGGAGGGGGGGTGAGCATACGCAGAATGAAACCGGTGAACAATGGGAGAACCCAACGCCACTTGGAATTTGTCCAAGTGGCACTTTGTCCTGTTTAGGAATATGGCTGTGGGAAGAGCTGGCCTAGGTAGAAGCCAGCCTCACACTAAGGTTGAACATGGTTGCCCTGGCCGTGGCTCCAAGTAGTCCTAAAAGCCATAGAACCTCTTTCTGAAGGTTGAAAGACCCGGCTTTTGAATTGGAGTCCATGCAGGATGGATGGATGAATGCTGATTTATGCATGTGTTGGCAGGTATGGCACCTATGGGCTCACAAGGGAACGCCTTTTTTCCTAGATTTGGCCTTTGATAAAGAGGCAGGAGAAGAAGCTGAGAAGCTTAGGGCTTCTGTGAAGGACACGGCTACTACCTGTGC